CCTGGGAAGAGCGTAATGATGGTGCCAACTTGGGCCAGTGAAGCAACGTCCTCCACAACTAGACTGAAGAACAAAACGACAGCAACTTGTCTGTTCCTCTTCCCCCAGTTCCCCAGCACTGTTCCCATCCCCCAATTCCCTAATAAAAATCTTAAAAAAAAAAAAAAGAGTGCGAGCTCTGAAGCGGTTTGATGTCCGTCCTGAGTTGAGCTGCCACTGAGCTGCCAACAGGTGGTAGGGTGGCTCAGCTAAGAAAAATAAAAAAGACTAGAGCTTTATTGCAGGATGTAATTACTAGCTTCTTCAGGGAGTGGCTAGTATTTCTGATAATATGTTTGGTTAACTTTCTTTTTTTTTTTTTTAGTGAAAGAGCAGTTTATTAGAAGAAACAGTACACTTCAAAGAAATAGAAGCAAGTAGAAGGCAGTAGCTTAAGGGTCATTATGAAAAGAGAAAGTACACTCCAAAAGGTTAGGAGAGGGCCCAAAGAAAAGCGTAACAAAGGCACAAAGGGGCAAGGCCAAGGGCAAGGCCAAGGGCCAGGGCAAGGGCCAGGGCAAGGTCCCAAAGGCCCAGTGGCATCAATATTAGGGAAAATAACCCCCAAGTCCTGGCCAGTCAGGGCCTTTTGAGCTCCTTATTTTGCTCGGTTTGCTCCAAACTCTTGTTTTCCTTTTGAGAGACATGAGCCACATAAAATCTCTTTCAGTGGTGCCAAGTAAACTCTTGAGCTGCAGATGGGCTTCTAGGATGCTTGAAGCACTGTCCCTCAGCAGATTGAAACCCTCAAAATTTTAATGATCACATAGACAGAAAGATGATCGTTCCCTGAGGAAATGTGTGTGTGTGTGGATTTTGGAACACAGATTAAGATAGAATCCAGAACATAGAAAACCCACAAAGTGGTTCAAAGAGCTGTGTTGGCAGAAGCACTGACTGAGATGTTGCAAACTGGAGAAAGGCCCATGGGGCCACTGACTTCCTGCAGGCAGGAAACCCGCTGAGGACATGGCCTGGTTAACTTTCTTAAAGACTGATAAAATTATGAGCCTCATTTGTAAAGCTAAACTTTACCAGTAAACCCAGGACTATCAGTCTTGTGACAACCATAGTAATTTTATCCAGATATTCCTCTTTTTTTTTTTTTTTTAAAGATTTTTATTGGGGAATTGGGAAGGGGAACAGACAAGTTGCTGTCTTTTTGTTCTTCAGTCTAGTTGTGGAGGACGTTGCTTCACTGGCCCAAGTTGGCACCATCATTGTGCTCTTCCCGGGCGAGGCAGATCAGTCACCGGCTTCTGGATGGCCGCTCACTGCGGCTGATGGCTGCTCACGCTGACTGCTGGCCGCTCACGCTGGCTGCTGGCTACACACAGTAGCCCATGGCAACCCACTGCAGCAGGGGCTGCAGCCTATGCCATCACCAGCGACTCACGGCAACCCAGCTCCTGGTTGAGCTGTTGATCAGAATCTTAGCTGTAGAGGGCAGCATCGCTGGCCCTCATATGTGGGATCTGAATCAGGGCCCTCTGGCATCCCAAGCCAGTTCTTAACCAACGCACCACTCGGCCGGCCCCCAGATATTCCTTTTCTGTATTTAGACTAACAATGTTATCTAACTACATGTTTTTCCTATAAAAATTTATCTACTAAAGGGTTATATCTATATTTATTTATCATATTAGAAATTAAACTAAGAACTTAAAAAAGCCTCCATTTTAATTTATTTTAAATAACTAGCAAACATATTTCTTTTTGTACAAGCAATATATTTTTATTTAAAATAACTAGTCTGAAAAAAATGAGAAGAGTGGCATTAGTCCACATTTTTGTAAATCTTTTAAAATACCTGGCTCAAAAATCTATTTACTAGAAATAAATATTTAAACTGGCTTTTGGGAAGATTTTCCCCAAAGTTTGAAATACAACTTCAACCCGTCTTCATGATAAAGTCATCTGAGATGTTGCTTTAATAAGGAGAGTGTTAGAGAAGCTCTCTCTTTGTTTTCATGGGGAGGAACTTCATGAATATTGTTTGGATTTTCCTTTGAATTTGAGGTCTTTACTCTTTAGTCATGATCTTTCTGGCCACATCCTTGAAGGCTTGTTTTACTTGTTTATTTCTTAGAGTGTAAATGAACGGGTTCAATAAAGGGGCAACTGAGGTGTTGAGCACAGCTACCCCCTTATTGATGGCAACTCCCTCTTTTGCTGAGGGTTTTATGTACATGAAGATGCAGCTGCCATAAGAGAGGGAGATGACAATCATGTGGGAAGAACACGTGGAAAAGGCCTTTTTCCTTTGTTGAGCAGAGGGGATCTTCAGAATGGTCCAGATGATGTTTGTATAGGAGAGACTCACCAGCACCAAGGTGACCACCAAGGTCACAAATGCTAAGATAAAGTCAACCACCTCCAGGAGTCTTGTGTCTGAGCAAGATATTTCTATGAGGGGCCCATAATCACAATAATAATGATTCAGCATTTTGGAGGCACAGAAATCCAGCTGACTGGTCAAGATGATTGGGGATATGATGATCAGGAATCCACCTAGCCAAGAGCAAAGGACCAGCTGCATACAGACCCTGCTGTTCATGATGGTCATGTAATGCAGGGGTTTGCAGATGGCCACGTAGCGGTCATAAGACATGGCAGCCAGAAGATAAAACTCTGTGGCACCAAGGAATATGGCAAAGAAATACTGAGTGAAGCAGCCGGCAAAGCTGATGCTCTTGTTCCCAGTTGAGATGCTGAACAGCAGCCTAGGAGTAAAAGTGGTTGTAAAGGAAATTTCTAAAAAGGAGAAATTCCGGAGGAAGAAATACATGGGAGTCTGGAGGTGGGAGTCCAGTAGTGTGAGGGTGATGATTGTCAGGTTTCCAATGATGCTGAATATGTAGGTGAGGAAGAGACATATAAAGATGACCAGTTGAATCTCTGGGATGTCTGTTAGTCCCAGCAGAATGAATTCTGTCAGAAAGGTTTGGTTTTTCATTGTTAACCTTTGCAGCCTAGGAAGATAAAGGGAAGAGGTCAGCGATGAGAACGAAAGGAATGCTCAGAAACAGGAAAGGCTAAGGTTTTCCCGTTGAATGGGTGCAAATGCCTTTTTTTATCATCAACTTGACTCAAATGAGATTTTTCTATTGGATAGAGGCTGGCTCTTCGTAAATTCCCATATAGGAGGGTTTTTCTCCATGTCTCCTTTTCAGGCTCTGTATGCACTTTCCAGCCTACCTTCTAATTCAAATGCCTAAGTTGTCATTTTCTCTAATTTCTATATTTATTTTCTCTTTGAACACTGACTCTGCTTTTGATCTTTCGTTACTTTCTGCTAATTTGACAGTGATGTCTCATTTCCACCACCCTCTTGGTCTCAGTGAGAGAAGAAATGCTAACTGTGTTAGCCCACAGTTGAGGGGCTTTTGGGGGAATCAGCAATACTATTATAACAGTGGTAACCAAAGAGACCCACAGCTTCCCTTCAATTTTTTTGAATTTGTGGACCGTTGTAACTAATATCACCAGTCTCTAAATCTTTGCTGCTTTCCTTCAGGTCCCAGTTCTCCTTTCTTGAATGCTTTTTTTTTTTTTTTAAAGGTTTTATTGGAGAGTTGTGGGAGGGGAACAGTGCTGGGGAATCTGGGGAAGGGGAACAGACAAGTTGCTATTGTTTTGTTCTTCAGTCTAGTTGTGGAGGACGTTGCTTCACTGGCCCAAATTGGCACCATCATTGCGCTCTTCCCGGGTGAGGCAGATTGGTCGCTGGCCTCTGGACGGCAGCTCACACCAGCTGCTGGCCGCTCACGCTGGCTGCCAGCTACACATGGTAGCTCATGGCGCTGGCGACTCACGACATCCCAGCTCCAGGTTGAGCTGTTGTTCACCATCTTAGCTGTAGATGGCTGTGTCACTGGCCCTCATGTGGGATCTGAACCGGGGCCCTGCTGCTCAGAGCTGGCATCCCAAGTCAGCTCTTAACCAACGTGCCACTCGGGCGGCCCTCTTAGATGGTTTTAACAGAGGAACAGAACAGATGGCCTCTCACCAATTAGATTCCTGCTTTCATTTTTTTTCCATATTCATGTTTATTAAAAATATATAATTTTACTCTGTCTAGAAAAATATAGCTGAAATAAAAAGTTGCAAGCCTGATTTAGGAGTTTCTAATGAAAAAGTTGAATGACTAGGGGGCTATTTACACCATAATTTTAGAATTTGAGTAATTTTTTGTTTATAGATAAGGAACAGGTACTGCATATTTACATAGCTATTAAAATGAAATTTAACTTAAAATTTATATTTATTTAATTTCTCCACAGTTGTTATATCCTCAAAGCTATTCTCAGCAGGTAACTCACCTACTTTTATTAATAATTAGTAAAAGTTCCTCTGGCATGATCCTCCTCTTTACCTTTCTTTTTTTCAAGACATTTCTGTCCTACACTCATACCTCTGTTCAAAAGAGCAGATGACTCCTCTTGTGACAAAGGTCAGTCCCTTTTTGACTCTTGAAAATAGAAACAAGTAATAAACATTTTTACCATCTTCTAAATTAAAAAGCATTTCACATACATTATTTTATTTGGTTATAACTACAATAATAATAAATAATAACCATCATTAATTGAGAGCTTACCATGTGCCAAGCCTTGTCATTGTTTTATTTGATTCCCAAAATAACCATTTGAGATAGGCACTGTTACTATCCCCATTTTGTAGATGAGGAAACTGAGGTTTCGAGCAGTTGATAAATTGTTCCAATTCCCACAGCTCGTATATTGTGGCTTCTGACCCAGTGCCACCTGACTCCACAGTCTGCACACTTAACTGCCATGTTGTGTTGATTTTCCACCCTGACTCAGGGGCAGAGTGATTATGACTATTATCTCAACCTTACAGTGAGATAATGTGGATTAACAATACTGTGAGGATAATAATGGTGATGATGATGATGGTGAAACTGAGGCTGGGGAAATTAAAGTGATTTGGCCAAGAACGCACATCTAGTAAATTCTTCTGATTCTGCAATGCATGTGTACTAAATTTGCTTCTTTATTTGTTAACAAATTTATTAAATAGTGATTGCATAGTCTTTTAAAAATTTCTGCATATTTATATTTTGCCTCTACATTGTCTTTGATTTTTTTCTTCTAATATCTTCTTAGTTTCTGCCTTTAACCAATGGCTCCTTCCTAATTTTGTCCTCCTTTCTCTGGACTCTAATGATGCATGCCTTACACTGGCTGTTCTTCTTTCCTTTAAACACACGTTCTTTACAAGTTGCTTGCCTGCTCTGGTTTCTAAATCAGTGAAGCAATCCTGTCCTACACCTATCTCATACTGCCTCACTTTCTTTTGGATATTGTCCCTCAAATTAACCTTAATATGTTAACGACAGTGTATTGTATGATCCCATTTTGGTTAAAAAATAATATGAAAAGATGAAAATAACATATGATATAAAACTATATTTTTATATGCATAGTCACATATATCTGGAAAAATAAATTGTTAGCAATGTTACGTCTATGGAATTAGATGGGGAAGAGGGGAACATACGGGGAGTCTCTTTTACTTTATCCTTTTATACCTGTCTATATTGTATGAATGCTGTGAAAAGCATAAGTTACTTTTTAATTAAAAAAACTCACAGTTATATGATTTTATATTCCATAATCACAACCAGGTAACATTGATATAACTATAAGCTGAGAATATACTTACACTTGACTTTCAGGGCAGAGCTGTGGAACTTTATCCATACATGTCGGTGGGACGAATCACAATTTACAAGTCACATGTGGATGAAAGGTGGCATAAAATTGAACTTGCTTGCTTTCCCACCAATACTTATTGACCTAATTATTCACAAAAGTTTACAAACTTATGAAAATTTAGTAGGAAAAATCCTATTGATCCTGCTATATACAAGCTTGGTTGTCATTTGCCAGTTATTTCCATGTTAATTTAAAATGCACCCTGGCCAGTAAGTAATCCTTTGAGATTTGATTTATTTAAGTTAAGCAATATCTATTGTAGTGATAATAAAAGCACCCTCCCTTCAAAGTCTTATTTCCTCTGTTCTGACTAGTTTGAGGCTGGATATATGCTGCTTCTGATTCCATACCACACTGCGACATATTTTAAATCTTCTGTTGAGGGAGACCTCAGGATAATCAGTTGAGGAAAGAAATAAAAGACCCCAGGAGGCCCACATTCAGAGTATGTTAACAAACCCTATTTGTTGAGAACTCTGGAATTGAACCTTTAATAGGGGACTGGGGAAGAAGTCTAAAGAGACACTGAGGAAGTTAACCGGAGAACATCAATCGCTATAGTACAGAAGCCTGGTGAAAACTGCAGTCATGATAATTGATTAAAAATAATCACAGGAAAATAGAACAACACATGCTTTTTTGAGCAGCTTACTATGTGCTGTGCATAATGCTAAACAACATACCTTTATTATGCTTAAGTACAGTGCTAGATAATATACATTAATTATTTGCTTACTTTCATAGCACTATATGCCTCCTAAAGAGCAAGATAGTAGCAGTTAGGGCATTTGCTTTCTGCTGCTGTGGCAATCTTACATTGGTCAAGTATCATGAGATATGAAGAGGGTTTAGCATTTTCCCCATTAGCACCTTTCCCTTCTCGTGTCTTTTGTGCCCTCACAGAGGAGGTCGTGTGTCCTTACTCTATTTCCTCTCTAAGGCTTGAAAACCCTTCCTCCACTTGTTCACTGACACTCCCTCTCAAACCTTTCAAATCCATACACTCTCAATCTCTAAATCTTTTTTCTTTAAAGATTTTTTTTTTATTGGGGAATTGGGGGAGGAGAACAGCATTGGAGAATCGGGGAAGAGGAACAGACAAGTTGTTGTCCTTTTTCTGTTCTTCAATCTTGTTGTGGAGGAGGTTGCTTCACTGACCCATGTTGGTATTATCATTGCGCTCTTCCCAGGTGAGGCAGATCGGTTGTCGGCCATTGGACGGCTGCTCACCGTGGCTCCCAGCAGCTCATAAAAGCTCATTCCATGGGGGAGGGGAGGAGGGAGAAGTGGGGCGGTGGATTGGGGGAGGGGAGTTGTTACTTCGAGGGGTAAAAAGTATAACTATTGCACTGTGTTGTACAGCTGAAACTAATTTTAAAAAATGTGTACTTCACAATAAAAAAAGAAAAACAACTCACGCCAGCTGCCGGCCAGCCCCACTGCAGCCTACGCCAGCGACTTATGGCAGCCCAGCTCCAGGTCGAGCTGTTGTTCACCATCTTAGCTGTAGAGGGTGCAGCATCACTGGCCCTCTATGTGGGATCCCAACCGGGCCCTGTTGCTCAGAGCTGGCATCCCAAGCCAACTTCTAACCAGTACGCCACTCGGCCAGCCCACCAATCTCTAAATCTTTACGTGGAACTGGTAATGGTCATGTGGCTCCCCAAGAGCTATCAAGTTAAGAATATCCTTTACAAAAGAATTTTCAGATTGGATGGAGCAGAGGAATATAATCTTATAGGGATCATTGATTTGCTTCAGCCAAGATGCTATATGAGATGACATTAATTTTCATCCTGTGTTTGGTGAGAGGAGTGTTTCTATTGGCGTTGCTCCTAGACAATCAGTCTGTGATTAAGAAGATTTACCTTTCGCTACCTGTGTGAACAGTCTCTCCCCCTGTTCCCAGTTTGGCTTTAGACAGAGAGGCCTGATGGATGAATGTGGCAAGTATGGATTTTTGAGAAAGCTAATGTGATATATAGCATTATAGCATACAAAGCTAATTAGGAAAGACAAACATAGTCCTGAGAGATTACTGGAGGGCAATAATATATACACCAGGACAATAGATGTATGGGGAAAAGGCAAGAGAGATGGAGTAACAGAACAAGAACAGTATAATTTGCAGAAGGGATTAATGCAACCTAGTCCAGAGCTTCAGGGCAGAGGGCATTTATTTGTGGGTAATCTTTGATTTCTGGAGGCTAGACAA